CATACACGCCGTTTTTTCCTCATTCTGTCAACATCATATTTCATTTTCTTTTTTCACAAATGATTTTCCTTCAGACTTATTTTCAGAACTACAGATATAATATCATTACAGGAAATTAATGAAGTCAAGGGGACATTAAGTGCGCTTCGACAATGTCACTTGTCATCTTTGCTAAACCGGTTTCGAAGCACATTTTTCTATCTTTATTAACTTGAGATTCAAATAAAAAAAAAATTAACCTGAGATAGTCATAGATGTATCGAAGTATGATCCTAGGATGAAATTGACTTGCACCGATCGATCATTCTCCTGTATTCAAATCGACTTCATTTTTTCAAATAACTGCGGTACAATATTCATATAAAAGATAAATTGAACTTGTGCGAAAATTTCCAATAAATTTACAAAAAATATATTCAGATTTTTCTACAGAAATTTAAACATATACTGTTTCGTGGTCTTCATTCCCTATTGAAAATACTGTTTTAAATATTATTTTTAGTTTGAACTTTTAATCGTTTCGTCTTGTCGTTATCATTTTCCCATTCAATTGAGTTAATGATAATCAGGCGATATTTTGCCTTCAAATGTTAATTAGCCCCGTGAATCATTCCCCGATACGTCGAAAACACATTATTCAATCTATTGTTATCTAACTCTTATCATATTTTTAAATTCAAAAGGTTTTGAAGAATTTTTCAAAACATTTTAAAACAATTTTTTTTCATAAAAAAAATTTTCTGAAAAATTCTGCCGAAATTTTTTGAAAATTTGGAAAAAATATTCCGATTACAATTTTTTTTTTCCGGGTTCCTTTAAAACCTCTCCCACACATGCAAGAAGATTATGAAAATTCAATCATCTCATTACGTTACCCCCGACCTTGAAAGTTGATTGAATAATCCATTGCACCTGAATGCAACCTCCTCCATAATGATATGCATCTTTTTATATTGCTCATTCCTCGAATAGTGAATGAGAGATAGTAAAATTGTAAAGGAGTGAATGGGTGAAAGTGCGACCGATTAGTGGGTAGGAAATTGTACCCACGTACACCCATTGAAACTGAGAGTAATTTTCTCTGTCTCCTTTCACCTTTCTCCAGTGGATTGAAGTGAGATAAAGGTATTTTCTCCCTTCCATGCACCTCGAGCCCCCCTTTATGTCTTTAGAGTGGGTTTCCCCACCTTCAAACGACGATTCTTTCTCCTCTCTTTGGCTGGAACGGGGAATTCAGGTCAAGTTCACTGTCTGTCCAGGCCACCTCTCTTTTTCTTTCACTCAACTCTCATTTCCTCTCTTTTCCACTCGGCAAGTATGACTTAACTCAACCTTCTCATCATCTCACTTTTTTTACCTCACTCCTTTTTCACAGCATTCAAGACATATTTCAGATGGCTTTTTTTCATCATCTTCTCTTTTTCAAGTGAGGTGGAGCATCCATTCCAACTGTATCTCTAGCTCTAGCTTATGCAAGAAACACTTTTTACTCGGTGGAGACTATTTTAACGCCTACGTTCAGGAGAATCGTTGAAGGATCATTGGCTCTTACTCTCTCTTCCACTATTTCTATTGTCAATGTCAATGGCACCGGGATTGAAGAAACACCTAGGGTCTCTCAATCCAATTCTATGTCTACTTTAGCCTTTTTTTAATATTTTTTTGCATAATCGAAAATTTCAACAGGATAGCAGGAGAAATTCGCAGTTACACGAATTTCGGCATATTTTTTAATTATTATTCTTGCATTGTAAATAAATAGTGGATGCTGAAAAAGACATTTGGTGACTGGAAGAAATTATTGAAATCCATTAACAAGACAATTAATTAGAAATGTATAATAAAACGAGTTTTAAAGGTTCACCTAATTGTTAATGACTCCGAAATTACCATGAAGTTCCATTCTCCATTGGATACCAGTTCAAGGACCTAACCGGTGGAGACCGTTAGAGAACGACTTTTAAAATATGCGAAAATCCATGTCCCATCCAGAATTATCCGTTTTAAAAATGGATTTTCGATTGCTCGGACGGTGTATGTCTTCGGGGCGAATAAATTTGTGATGTAATTTTGAAAAAATTCTTTGACATCATCGATGACTATACCTGAGGTGAAAGTGTACTTAGGCGGATTTTTTATACTCTATTCAAGTATACTTTATGCTTGAAATGAGTATGATCGAAAAATTTAGAAAAATATGAATATTCTCCTTCAATCGTAATTTTTATTTGAATTATCGGTGAAAAATTACGGTACCGACGCTCAAATTTTTCTAGTCGGTTCTCTAATCGATAAGGGCGCTGAAATTTCCACAATTTTTACCGAATATTTGTCTCGGTGTTGTACACGATGCTGCAGATATTTTTTGCGTGATAGGGACCCAGGAAAAAAAAAATGGTAATCAGTTTTTTTTTTCAAATGTTCAAAAAATTTCTGGAAAACTTTTCAGAAAATTTTTCTTTCGAAACAAAGAAAAAATCGGGAAACAAAGCAATTGTATTTTTGGGAAATGTTTTGAAAAATTTTTCAAAAATTTGTTTCGGAAATGTTTTTTTTATAATTTTCTAGAAATTTTCGCGAATATAATTTTTTTTTTAATTACACTGTTATTTTCTTACTTTTTTGATTTTTCAATATTCTCAATAAAAAAAACGCCGTCTAAATTATAAAAAAAACTTCCTATTCAAATTTTTGAAAAATTTTTCAAAATCTTTCCAAAAAATAAAATTGTTTTGTTTTTCAATTTTTTCTGTTTCATAAAAAAAAATTCTGAAAAGTTTTCCAGAAATTTTTTGAAAATTCGGGAAAAATATTCTGATTAAATTTTTTTTTTACCCGGGGAGTCATGAGGATACGTGTCACTTTGAAGAAAGAGGATACACGCAGGTGGACCACCTGACTCCTGCTCCTGTCGGTTATTTTTTTCATTTCATTCATTTTTTCATTTTTTTTTTACACTCTTTGCACAACCCACGCGCAGGCGTGCGCACTCGCACGTCGATTTGCGTGAGGCATTCACCGCAGGGGAGACCGACGAAGAGGATTTGTTCTCGGAAAGCATTGGGTCTCACAGGAATCTCAGAATTCTTCTCTCCGAGAAATCAATGACGTCCCCGGGATTTTATCTGTATCTTATTAGCTCCTCCTGGTAGTCATACGCTGTTAGAGAAGAAATAAAATTTCATGGACAGCCTATTGCCAACTTTCGACACGAAATACCATTCATACGAGCAAAAAATTATGAAATTTCAGGTTTCACTGAAACCTGTCATCCTTCGTTTATTTCAATTTGTAACCTGATACGAATATTCAGTGTCAAGTTGCAGTGAATTTTCCTCTGAACTTTGACAATTTTTTACCCCGCAGTACATTAACTAATTAATTCTAAAAAACGACAGATTGAATAAATAAAACAAATTTTCAAAAAATTTCTGCAAGACTTTTCGGAAATTTTTGTTTATGAAACAGAAAAAAAATCGGAAAACAAAATAATTTTATTTGTGGAAAAGGTTTTGAAAAATTTTGCAAAAATTTAAGTAGGAAAGTTTTTTTATAATTTAGATGGCGTATTTTTTGAGAATATTGAAAAATGAAAAATGTAAGAAAACAACAGTATTATTAAAAAAAATTATATTCGCAAAAATTTCTAGAAAATGACAAAGGAAATTTTCCGAAACAGATTTTTCAAAACATTTCCCAAAAATGCGATTGTTCCGTTTCCCGATTTTTTGTTTAAAAAAAAAATTTCTGAAAAGCCTTCTAGAAATTTTTTGAAAATTTGGAAAAAATATTCCGATTACAATTTTTTTCCCCGTGATACGAGTGTTCTAAAAATCCAGGAAAATGGTAACAGGAATTAAAATTCTTGATTGATTTCCAAGGAAAAGTGGAAATCTGAAATAATGACGGATGAATAAAGGCGTCAGGATATCCGCCTAAAAATGGGAATTAGTCCGAGTGGTAGGGAGTGTCCACCACCCCTTGGAATGGAAGAACCTGGAGTATCTCCGTAGTCGGGATGCCCCCTCCTGATCTCCCTGTAACTCATCTCCCTCTTCCTCACCAATCAGCTAAGACAACTCCTAAGGATGGGAAACGGTCGTGGGTCCGAAAGAGTTAATGGACTGGTGGGAAGGGAGTGAGGGAGGACGAGAAGGAGGTGGAGGAAACTCTGAAGGCATCGGAGTCAAGTCCAGTCCTCCTACCCGATCACCCAAGGTATTTAAGGTACCGGGAACTCCTGGCTCTGGAGTAGTTCACTTCTGTGTGGTGCGGCGGTCTGAATTAAATCCCGTGAAATACGCGCACCATTGGTATCACATTGAGTGAAGTTTGAAAAATAGAACATTTTCGGTACTCACCAAATTCACCAGCCAAATCAAATTATTTATTCTGGCTGATTGTTTATCGTGGATTTAATACAAAAAAGGTGAATATTATAAGGATATCCAAGTACACTCCTCAAGTTTTTTTTCTGCTATTCTCTTTACTCATAAATTTGTGATAATCCATCATAGTTAATGAATTTCATTCGATTTTGGGTCGGATCTTAAAACTAGGAAAAAATATAATTCATTGCCTTTACCGTATCCAGATAAAACGTGTGTTCAATTGAAACATTAAAAATTGATATCTAATGATATCTACAGTACAATATTTATAGAATTTTTTTTATTAAAAAAAAAATCATTTTTTCAAGGATTTGGTACTGGAAGTATCCGAAGTGTATTTATCAGGAGTCATTTCTTTGAGAGTGAATGTCTTGGATTTCCTCAAACATAGGGTAGGATGAATAGGGTGTTGAGGTAAAAAAAATGATTTACCCGAGGAGATAAAGATTGTCCCCCTCTTCATACCTCTTCACCGGGAGTATACCCCGCGGTTGTTCGCCCTTCTTCAAGTTTATCCTCCCCCGCGCGCGCATCACGCGCTCTCACCAAAACCGGCACATCTCCACGCCGAAGCGTTTATTCGACTCGCGCGCGCCTAACAAGCCTCACTCCATCGCCGGCTTCCGTACCGACCACACTAAACTATTAAAAATCATTATTTTTTCACATCACCCTCGAATTTAATCAAAAAATCCACCCAATCTCAAGCCATCCCGACTAATTCTCATTTTTTTTTCTTTATTTTCTCTCGTCGGTGGAAGACAAGTGGTCAAGGATTTTCATTAACCGGAGTTTTTTTTTATTGGACATCATTTTCTTCATCCTGCAACATTTCCACTGTTTATTGGATCATCAGCGGAACTGAATTGCTTCGGGTAAGTTCACATATTTTCAGAGATTTTTTTTCACATCTTTCGATGGTACAATGTGCGCACAAGTGGACCTGTGATCTTGTGATTATCAGTGATATTTATTTTATTGAGTGAATGTACTTCATTTATAGGATTTGTGAATAGACCGCGGGATTTTTATTTAGAAAGTGCATTTTTTGAGTATTTGAAAATTGCGCGGCTTTCGGCGGTTTATTCTGGAGCGAATGTGATTGCCGGGGAATTTTTTCATGCTTGGTACTCTAACTGAATTTTTGCAGTGTTTCAAATTTTTTTGGCGGAACTCCCTCGGAAAATCACGGTACGACCGTTTGAATTTTTTGTGTCGCCTCCGTCGAGTAATCGATTAACGAATTGTCAGTTCCGTAATTTTTACGGGATATTTATACCCGTGGGATTTTAACGGTATAATTCTGTAATCAATACGATCGGTTGTATTCGAGGGGCTACTTAACGGTAATTAAACACGATTACACGCGTAATAAGTGTTCCTTAGATTTTTCATTTTTCGCTTCGACTTGAATAAAAATATAACTGGCATTCGCACAAAGATGGATCTTTCGTGGAGAATCGCCATGTTACTTTAATCATTGCATCAGTTGAGAGTTAAAAGGAATTTGTTGCTCGTTGCATTAAGATTCAAAAAATGAAAAAGATGTAGATCGAGGAAACCCGAGTCAACGTTCCCCCATTGTACTTTAAATATTTAGAACGGTTGAGAATAAAAAGGGGAAGGAATAAAGGGAACGAAACACGTAATACTTTGTAAACGAGCGAAGAAAGAGATGGAAATTGTCGGAATCTAGAAATACCGACGCTTTTGTCTGGTACAGGGGAGGAAGGTTCTGCCTTCCTAGGAATTATGCACTTTTACTACTCATATGACTTATTCAATCGTCATTTCATTTCTCCTCTATTTCACTAAATCCCGGGCGGGAATGTAACATTTCCATCCACCCTCACGAAATTACATTTCGAATTTTTAGCAGAATAAATTTCTGTGGAATTTTTCTGTCACGAATCAGTGAATCAAAAATATTAATAATGAGTAAATGAAAAAATTGAAGCGATTTATTGAAAATTTGATATTTACTGATGAGTATTCACGAAAAATTCAATTTTGAAGACAAGTGAGAAATTTAATTGAAATTTAATTTAAATTCACACATTTGGAAATTGAATTTCCAAATGTCCATGAGTTTTTAATACTGTACATCATAATTCCTCTAAAACTCCTAAAAACTGTATGGCAAAATGTCATATAAATTTCCTGTGTTTATAAATCACCCATAAATGAACAAAAAAGAAAAGTCTCAATTCATTGAGTCACGGTTAAAGAGTAAAATTGAAGATAACCGAGAGCGGAAGAATACGAATGAATGAACTTGCACGTGAGACAAGTAATCCTAATGACTCTGACTAATTATCAACAGACAATCAACTTTAGATTTGAAAGAAAAAATTAAAAAAAAATGAGCTTCATTGTTGCAACCGGTGTCTGCAAAAATCTCTCGTCCTATCATGACGTGGCCGAAATAAAATGGATTAGCAGACTATAGTCCAGCGGAATATCGCGCAGTCACGCGATAAAAGGATTGAAAAAAGAAAAATGAAAAAAGATGGAACTACGGCGGGGGGAGCGAATGAGAGATCAGGAGGATGTGAGGTTTAGCTAAGATAGGAAGGATGAAGATATATGGTGGAGGGCTAAGAGATCGCCTGGAGGTTCCTAACATAAGGAGGCAATAGCCGTAGAGAATCAGTGGACGTTAGCAACAGGATCGTGCGCATTCGCCAAAAAAAAAAAATCCCCAAGGGAAATGAAAAAAAAATCCAAGCGAAGGCGCTGCAAAAAAAGCTCATTAAAAAATAGGGAGTAAATCACTCAAAAACTAATGGGATACGACACACTTCATTATATTTCATCTCAATCAAAGTCATTTTCATTAAAATTTATTTTTTAACTCTCTCGGTGCATTATCACTCACTCAATGTATTATGAATACCAAAGAAATCGGATTGAAGACAGACGGGCCACATTCACCTTATTTCTCCTACGAATACCAATGACACTAAATTTGCCTGAATGTCTCCAACTTTTTATCAAGTTCGTTGAACCTCCAAAAAAAATTCCATCTCATGGAGAATTCGAAATATTTATATATTCTCTGTGAATGAAATAATAATGATTGAATTATTCAAATTGTCGGGATTGTGGAAGAAAAGGGTATCGATTTTGTTCAGAAGTCGATTATTTTTTTATTGATTTCTGTTTAATAATTATGTCGAATGAGAAATTAAAATTTTTTTCTGTCTGAATTACGATTGTCGGCCCAAAATTTGGATTTGACTTTATCAAGAAAATAGATATTAATACATATAATTATATTATAACAAAATATACGTACGAATAATATATTGCATTTCCTCCCCGAATATAATTACATCTAATTAATATATATTCGTTTTCCGTGCGGGATAAATTCCCAAAATATTTCGATTTCTCATTTCAAATGAAAAAATTACGTAATCGTTAATGATGCCCGTGAGAACGAGTATTGTATTGGTGAATGTGACCGATTTAACGAATGGTAGAAATAGATGTTAGGTAGCATCGGCCGGTCAACCGTGTCCTGTCCATTAAGCCCAATCGTTTCTCAGTTGTGTGTAACATGAATTCAGGTGAAAAAAAAAAGAGAGGAGACACTCGACCATTACGTGCAAGGGATCTACAACACGTACCATAAAAATTTGCGACGATTCAAATCACCTCTGCGTAAACGTACAATAACTATTGGGTCATACACAACGGTTAGAGTTCATGAAATGCATTTATAGTGGAATAAGGATTGGAATACAAAATCATGGCTTGTAAGTGGAACTGTGTCATAAGGATTTCCTTTCAGCGCCAATTTTTCATTCCAATTCTAGACAAATATTATTTAAACAATATGGGTAATCCGGTCATTTGAAATGAGACTTACGGGAAATATTTATAATTATGAATATTTGTATGCGGTTGTATCTTTATGGAAAAAAATAGATAACTCACGATTTTTGGGAATTTATAATTAGGATAAACTGACCATTAAATAAACATTTGAATTTTTTCAAATATGAAAAAGAATACAATAAAAAATTCTACCATTTTTTAATTAAAAATAACGATTACTGAAAATTCGAAGTAATTATGTGATTTTCATATTCAATCCCGCAATGACTTACAGATAATTCTTACTCCAGAGTAACAAATAACATTTCAAATTTTTAACAACCCATTTTTTATTCACGAAGAGGATTTTTCGTTCTGAATAAAAAATAATCCTGGAGTAATTAATTGTAGTTTCACGAGTTTCATTGATGACCCGAATGAAAAATGAAATATTGATATCTGAATCTGACTTAGCCTATATATTCACCCCAGTACCTTACATTCCCTCCGCAACTAGTGAGCAATAAAAAAAAAATATCTCTCGATTGTTGATAAAAATATGTATAACAAGGTGTCGCGCCTAGAAGTACTTACTCAGGACGTGAAAACCAGTCGAGTTAGCCTTGGCTCATGTTGCCCTCAGCAAGCTCCATTCATTCTTCACGTCTTTTTGCGCCCCTATTTCTCAACCTTAAAAAAAAAGCAAATCACAAAGTAACAGAGTACAAATGTAAACTTGAAAATAAGTGCGATGGAGTTTATTCGAATTTACCCCGAGATTTTGTTGCACATTGTCTCAACCGACCAGATTTATTATTACTATTGAGCAATGGGGGTTGTTGAACACTTCACAATGTTACAAGAGAAGAAATCTACCGCACACCAGAGAGAATATGGATCTTTTATCTCTTCTCCTAGGCGATGGAGAATAACCATAAATTTTGCAACCAGTGTGAAAGGGTTTTACTTGGGTGTGGGTATGTGTGTGGATGTGGCCTATCCATAGGACTTCTCTGTACGATCGAATAATCAGTAACCGGTAACAGGTTGCTGGACCACGCGTGTGAGTAATGCACCGACCGTCTAAGCTATTTTGTGGTTAACGGGTGTCAAAATAAAAGAAAGAAAGACATAACGCCATCGTCAAAACCTGGGAAATATTCTTCGCACCTTGTTTTATCACTTTAACACCTTTTTTTATGTTAATTGAGAGCTTTGAATTGTTATTGATAAGAATATTTCATCCGGTCAACGGTAGTTCGTCGGCGAATCCAAAGAATTCGTGACTTTATGCAAGTCTATTTAATTTTCTTCCCAAGTATAGACTTCCGGGTAAAAAAAAAATGTAATCGAAATATTTTTCCCAACTTTTTAAAAAATTTCTGGAAAACTTGTTTGACATTTTTTTTTATGAAACAAAAAAAACAGAAAACAAAACTATTTTATTTTTCGGAAAGGTTTCGAAAAATTTTCCAAAAATTTGAATAGTAGAATTTTTTTTATAATTTAAATGGCGTTTTTTTGAGAATATTGAAAAATCAAAAAAGGAAGAAAACAACAGTATAATCAAAAGAAAAAATAATATTCGCAAAAATTTCTAGAAAATGATAAAAACAATTGTCCGAAACAAATTTTTGAAAAATTTGTCAAAACATTTCTCAAAAATACAATTGTTTTTTCCCCGATTTTTTTTTGTTTCAAAAGAAAAATTTTCTGAAAAGTTTCATTGTCAAAATTTATTGAAAATTTGGAAAAAATATTCTGATTCCAATTTTTTTTCAGCCGGGCTCGAAGTACCGCAATAAGTTTACAATCGCGGAATAAAATTAATTCCTCCAGACGCACTTGCCTTTTTTTCATTCATTCATTCATTCATTCATTCATTACAGAACAATGAAGTACCCATTGAATTTCCAATTGGAAAATCTTTAACTTCGCGGTAGTGTTTTTACATTTTTTTTTTATTGCGACTACTGATAGGGAAGTTGAAGCTGAAGTTTATTGTTAACGCACTGCCATTGGGATAATGCAGTGAAGGTAAAGGTTATACTAG